GCCAAAGAATGCTCATTCATACAACAAGGACATATGTTCAGCTATGTTCATAGCAGTGTTGTTTGTAATAGCCAGAACCTGGAAGCAACCTAGATGCCCCTCAACTGAAGAATGGACAGAGAAAATGTGTTACATTTACACAATGGAGTACTACTCAGAGGGGGGAAAAACAGTGGAATCTTGAAATTCCCAGGCAAATGGATGGAACTACAAGAAACCATCCTGAGTGAGGTAACCCAGTCACAAAAAGACAAACATGGTATGTACTCACTCATATATGGATTTTAGACATATTACCAGCCTACAGTCCACACTGCCAGAGAAGCTAGGAAACAAGGAGGATCTCAGGAGAAGAACTCAGGGTCCCCCGAAGAAGGGGAGGGGGACAAGAACTCCTGAGCAAATTGGGAGCACAGGGGGGAGAGAGAAGGGAGGTGGCAATGGGAGATGGGTAAAAGGGGAGGGGGGAGGAGAACAGGAGGACTGAGATGGGAGGAATAGAGGAGGGCAAGAAAGGAGACGCCTTGATAGAGGGAGACAGTACAGGTATGGAGAGAGGTCTGGCACAGGGGAAATGTTCAGGGATCCACAGGGGTGATCCCAACTAAGAATCTAGGCAGTGGTGGAGAGGCCGCCTTTGATACCTTTCCCCTATAATGAAATTGATGACTACCTTGGCTACCACTCCTAGAGCCTTCACCCAGTAGCTGATTGAAGCAGAAACAGGCACCCACAGCTAAACATTGAGCCATACTCCTAGAATCCAGTTTTGGAGAGAGAGGAGGGATGAGCAAAGGATCCAAGACTGTGCTGGAGAAACCTGCAGAAACAGTTGACCTGACCTAGTGAGAGCATGGAAACCCTAGTCGTAAAGCTGGGGAAACAGCATTGGACCAAACCAAGTCCTCTGAATGTGGGTGCCAGCTAGGAGGCCAGGGCAGTCTATGGGACCTCTGGATGTGTAAATAAGAGTGCTTCTAAAATAAATAAAAATGTTTAAAAAGAGACACCAAGTTCCTACACAAATCATATGAGGAAGTATTCAAATCTTCTGAGACAACAGTGAGACCCCCTTTTCCTGTTCCTCAGTATTTTCAATTTTTATGTGAGGATAGTAAAGTAATGCTCCCCTCACAGAGTGATTTTATGG